TGTGGTGGTGGTGGTTGTGGAGGTGGAGGTGGAGGTAGAGGTGGAGGTGGAGGAGGAGGAGGAGGAGGTGGTGGTGGAGGTGGTGGAGGAGGTGGAAGAGGTGGTGGTTGTGGTGGTGGTGGCGGAGGATGAGGAGGAGGAGGAGGAGGATGTGGTGGTGGTGGTGGTGACGGCGGTGCAAGTGGTGGAGTTGGATGTGGAAGTGGAGGTGGTGTCATTTTTTAAAATGAATGATGGTATTTTGGGAATTAAAAAAATTCATTAAATGTTCATCTCTGCTTCTTTTGAAAGTAGCTTTGAAAAGCAACCCAAAGCCTGCTTTTAAAAGCTGCTGTCAAAAGGTCATTGCTTTTAAAATAATCGAGATATTTTCTTTTTACCAAACACCTTAAACTGCTTAACTTTAAAGTGAAGCAGGTTTTTGGCCAAAAAATGCAATCCCAAACGGGGCCTTAGGTCCAGTTTGGGATTGCTGTCACTTTTAAAAAAAAGTTGCTTCTGATGTGCTTTGAAAATAATTAGTTGTAAAGTAAAGCAGCTCCATGTTTGGTAAACATATTTTTAAAGTGCCGTTAGTACAAAAAGCAGTGTCAAAACTGTTTGGTAAATTTTAATATAAAATTGTTGTAACTGTGAATAATGACTAAAATAGACATGATGTTGAAAGTGTTATGTACTAATCATGTGGTGGTAGTGGTGGTGATGGAGTGGTGGTGGTGGTGGTGGTGATGAAGGTGGAGTTGGTGATTGTGGTAGTGGTGGTGGTGGGGATGGCAATTGTGGAGGTGGTGGTGGTGGTGGCAGTGGTAGCATGGTGGTGGTGGAGGTGTTGGTTGTGGAGGTGGTGGTGGATGTGGAGGTTTTGGAGGAGGTGGTGGTTGTGGTGGTGGTGGTGGTGGAGGTGGTGATTGTGGTGGCTGAGGAGGAGGAGGATGTGGTGGTGGTGGCAGTAGCGGTGGTTGTGGAGGTAGTGAATGTGATGGTGCAAGTGGTGGAGTTGGATGTGGAAGTG